GGGGGGAAGAGAAGGGCCTGCAGTGATTCTTTAAATTTGACATTCAAATGGTCTAAAAGATAAACCAAAACAATTCTTGCTTCTCACATATTTCTTAGACTAACAGAGCCACAACACTCCAACCCTACTGCAGACTACTTAGACTTTCATACATTGGAAGGCCAGAAATAACCAGGTTTCATCACTGGACCAGGCTTCCTGCCTTGTACATGCAGATCACAGTTTCCCCAGAGTGTCTTCTGGGAAGAGATCTAATCACTTCTTACAGTCTTCAAGCCGTGGTGAAGCCACCATTTCCCTAGCAAGCTGTTCTAGTGTCCTCACTGCCAGGAAATGGCATTTAATTACTGTCAGTTTCCAGCCACTTTTATAACTTTGTAAGAGTGAAAAGTCCCCAATATTATGTTATTATTTCCATATATAATGCCTACATAGTGAGCAAATCCTCTCTTAACTTCAACAAACTGAGGAGACTATGCCCCTCTAGCCTCACATGGTAAGGTTTGCCATCCTGCTCGCGATTCATTTCTGTGGCTCCTCTTTGAGGTCTCTAGTGCTATTGTTCTGAGCTTTTTTGGACTCAAGGCACCCGTCACTGGGCTTGAGGCAACCCTCCATAACCTTTGTGAAGTGAGTGACACCCAATTTCAAAAGCTAGTTTATAGGTTACAGTGCCTATTTCTTCACAGAGGGGCCTGGCAGTGGGGATGGGGGATCATCCAGGGAGGGACAAGCCTAAGTCTGCTCTTACCTGCTTATATCCTCACACTGCATGGCACCCTTCAAAATACCTGTCAGCCCCCCAGGCTGCCCCTGTACCTTGGCTGAGTCACTGCTGTAGTATTTTCTGATCTTTTGTGAAATCTGGCACCAGACCTGGATATGGCATTACCAGCACTGTACAAAGGCAAGATTGCTTCCCTAGTTTTTTAAATGCATCCATGGATCTTCTGACTCCTTCTAGTCTGGTAGGAATTCATATTAAGACTGTTACCTACAATAACCCAAGGTCCAGAGTCACTACTTTCCGAGGGAGTCTCCCATTCTGCACACTTAGATGCTTTGCTTGAAGATCTCTTACCCTGAATTTGGCTATATTAAAATACATTTTGCTGACCTGTGACTTTATAACAAGGTGACTCAGATCACCATTACTATAACCTGTTCTCCACCATTTACCATCTGCAAAATGATAGACCATTGATAGAAACAAGTGAACAGCACCAAGGACTGATCCCTGAAAGACACTACAAAAAGCCTTCCCCTCACTTGTATCTCCCTATTAACAGCTAAGTTTTCAGTTCCATCAGCAAGCCAGTTTTTACATCTATCAAATGTGTGTCTTGTTAATTTCATAAAATGCAAGACTGTTTATACCAGCTTCAGGTAGTAATACCATGGAGACATCAAAGGGCTGTCCTACATTATGGAAAACAGTTTGTTATTGTGCTTAAACCAGATCTACGTTAAGTTGATTAAGAAAAAGCCCCTGCCAATGCCTGTTGTGTTGTGTTCTGGGCCCAAAGGACAGATATTAATGAAACCCTTGTCTCTGCTATACTATTAAGCAGTTGTATGCTTAATTGTATGAGCTTAGTTGTATACTCACACCATCACTTTTCCAGCAATAACCACTACCAATCCTTTTAGCCTTCTATTCTTCCATAGAAAATAAAAAAATATTAAAGCACAACTTAAGGCTTTTGTTGACTACTGATCTTATTCCTTTTCCTTTATAATTGTTCATATGGAAGACTCCTGCTTGGCATCTTTTTAAGACAGTATTAACTCTCCTTTCCAGAGCTAAAAAGAAACAGCTTGTGTTAATGGTCCTGAGCTGCTTTGAAGCCCTTCTTTCATTAGAACAAGACACCCCCCCCCAGGGTAGAGAAAGTAGGAGAGAGAAAGAATAGCTATCATCTCCAATATGAACTTTCCCTTGAAACCGACACCATAGGAGAAAATACAAGCCTAACAAACCTGCTAAATTTGTGCCAGCATTGGACAGTAAGCAGATTTTAGCCAATGCTAGTGGCAAAGTCCTCTGATGCGCATTGTCAGGCAGAAGAAAGGCCCAACCATGTCATTCTAGGTCCCAGGGTGCCAAACATTGGAGCAATTGTTAGTCATAGAGTTACAGTGTGTATCTTGCCATCTACAAATTCCACAGCTTCAATTAAGTTTACCTCCTCCAGGTAAACAAGGCTCAAAAAGACTCAAGGCTCAATGTTATTCCATCAATTACTACCATCTTGGCTTGTTGATAAGCCAACATGATGATTTACCTCAAGTTCTGAGACTTTATCACAGTTCTTTAAAACTTAGCTTGTACCAGCCTTGTTGTCTCCAACTTTTGCTGAGTTCCAGGAAAAAGTTTTACATATAGACTGAATTAGACCATTACTAGCTGTCAATTTAGGGTACAAGTCGCTGCACAAGAAACCCACAAAGTAAGTTAGTATAGGCACTGCAAAAGCAGTATTATTTCCAAAAGCATATTTCACCAAATGATTTTGTCCCTTCCTACATATTAATTTTCAACTGATATGCACAAGATAATTTCAATTGGTTGAGTATATAATAATCCTGTATAAAAGTCATCTGAAAAAAAGTTATAAGTCGACATTAAAAAGGAACATAGCAGGAAAGGTGTTCACACAGGGAACTCTGGCTATCTGACTGGTAGAAATCAAGAGAGAAAGGTGCTAGTACATTTTGAGATTAATTTTAAGGAGGAATAAGGTAGCAGGAAATTTGGCAGGCTGTTACAGCAGAATAAAAGGATCCAATCCTGGGAGGCAACAAAAAGGGGAATGTGAGGTGGCCAGAAGTGATAGTGCAGACCAGAAGAGAATGCAAATATTTTTACAGAGGCATAAAGAAGGCATCACCACCAAATCCCTTAAATGGTAGGAAAGACTCCTATTCTGGATTATCCTCCACCCCATGTACTCTGAATTAAAGTCTGCAAGTTTTATTGTGCAAGTGCAGTTTCCCTATTCTCAAATCAGGGAGGATGCAGTACATGGGGTTTTTTTTGTTTTTAAAAGTCACCACAGACTGGAAGGGACCTCAGGATGTCAAGTAGGCCAAGCCCTTGCTTCTAGCAGGATCACCCCTGTCTAAGCCATCTCCAACACACATTTGTCCAACCTGCACTTACAAGCATCTGATGGGAGAGGTTCTACGGCCTCTCTAGACAATGTTCTCACATTTAACCCTCTTTATACTTAGAGAGTTCTTTCCTAATTTTCAATGCAAGTGTGCCTTGCTGCAACTCACACCCATTATTTTTTGTCCTGTTCCTTGAAGACCTAGAGAATAAATTTATTGCCATCCTCTTTCGGACCCTTTTCAAACCATTTGAAGATTTATTAAAAATCCCTCCTCAGCCTTTTCTTCTCCAAACTAAATAATCCCAGTTCCCAGCTTTCCCTCATGTCATGTGTTTTAGCCTTCTAACCATTTTTGTAATTTTCTGGCCTCTCCTCCATTTCTCCATAACAGTATCGAAGTGCAGTGCTGTACTGGACACTGAACTCCAGGTAAGGCCTCACCCTGGTGGAGGATGGAAGAATCACTTCCACTAACCTGGAAGCAACACTCCTCCCGTATTCTATTAGCCTTTCTTGCAACTCATGTTGCAGTGGCAACTCACTCAGCCTGAAGTCCACTAAAACACCAAGGTCCTTTAGCACAATAATACAGCCCACCCAGTAATTCCCCATTTTGTATTTGTGCTTTTGACTGCTGATTTATAAGTGCAGAACTTTGCATCTGCCCTTACTGAATTTCATCTTATTTATTTCAGGTCATTTTTCCAACTGATCAAGATCATTTTGAACCCTGATCCTGTCCCCTAAAAATGCTTGCTATACCATCCAGCTTGGTGTTATCAGCCAATTTATTCAAAGTACAATGTAATACTCCAAGTCAACAGTGAAGAGATTGAATGGTACTGGACCTAGGAAACCTAACCCCTCTTGGTATCTCCTCAGGTTGACCCTGAACCATTGATTACTTTCTTCAATATCATTATCCAGCCAGTTACAGTTTACTGCTTTTGTAGTAGTTTCACTGGTATTTAGTATATTTTGCTTCAGTGTACTGGAATAAACTATACCACAGAAATACTTTTGCACTATACACTAAACATGGCTATACAGTCTAGCCTTAAGCAGCAAAACTAAGTACATATGTGGCCTTTAAACAGAGTTCTCATTCACTAAGGAAAGACCTTGTGGATGCCTGGCCACAGTAATGCCAAGGTTAGCCTTTCCTTTGATTTCAGTGGGTAATGAATAAACTCCAAATCCTAGTCATTTAACTGCACCAGACAATTTAATTTTAAGAATGATTGTTACCGTATCATAGTCACTTTGAGAGTATCCAAAAGTAGGGAATTCTTCAATATCACCCTGAGGCATGTACTCCATCTCTTCTCCTGTAATCTTTTCAAACACATGGCGGTAAACTGTAAAGAATCCCTGAAATACACAATAGGGTTACTGAAGAAAGCAGAATTAACCATACAGCTAAAGAAGTAAAGCTAACCGACTTCTGAGAAGCATCACCATTTACATTTTGCCAAGGTAGTTTTAAGTCAGAAGACATCCTATACCATAGGCGACAAGTGCTGACAGTGAGGGGGGTGGGGAGGGATACAACTCCATGCTGTCACTGCTGCTGGCCATTGGGTCTGGCCAGGCTGCAGCCCCAGGCCTGAGACTGGCTCAGAAATCATGCCACTGCCACTACCACTGCTGCTGGGCCCTGTTGTTGGTGCAGAAATCTGTGCATGTGTGTGTGGGGGGGGGGCACATATTTCCCCAAGCCCCTGATACGTTGCCTATGTCCTATACCAAAAATAAACAGGCTCTAGGAACCCTTCTTGTCCAAAAATTCATCTAATGCAGAAACCCCATGGTTTCAGAACTCCTTAAACAAGCTTATACAGCCCCTGAAATACAGTCCTGAAAATATCCCTTGATTGCTCCATCTCAGACCAGCACCCTCATTAAATGCAACAAAGCATAATGGGGTAGTGCTGTGCATGAGGCATCAGCTGCATCCAGGCTTCTGGGAGAGGCAGCACAGCCATCTAGCAGCTGCAGTAGCTGCTTTTGCACACACAACCTTAAGAGGTGCTTAGGATTCCTGCCTCAGTCACATCCTTAGTTACATTTCAGTAGTGTAACTCTACTCCAGCATCTGAACTTAAACATTACCAAAAGCCTAACTAGAGAGGGTTTGCAGCATGCCTTGAAAGCCAGCAAATTCAGGTCATTCGCTAAAGAGCGAATTCCAAATGCAAGATTTTCTGG